ATTTGAAAAATCATTAACATAATATTTTTTATTTTTAATTAATATAAATTTCATCACTAATCTTTTTTAAATATAAGTATTTTTTTGGTATATTTGTTTCATTTTATATATGTAAGTACTTTTTTTGTTTGTAAAATGTTTATAGACTTAATTACTCAAAATATGAAAGTTCATTGACTTTTTTTAGGTTTTTTTCATTATTTTACTATATTAATCAGTTTTATAGGTCATAAGAATGTATCTAACAAGTTTTAGAAAGTTCAAGTAGTTATTTAACATGTTTTGTAATGTCCAAGGACTTATTTGTTCTAAAAAATTGTCCAAAAACTTAATCATTCCAAACACTAAAGTCCATTGGATTTTTTTAGATTTTTTTTCCTATAAATAAGACATAACATAATTTATACCACATTTTCGCTTATTCTAAACAAACATTATCTATAGTACAATTAACACGTAAAAGTTGCTGATACTTATTTATTCAATCTAAATACGGGGTAGTCTATGCAGCAACTCACAGATAGCATAAATGAATTTTTTTTGGAGTAATAATAGGGATCATGTATCTTTCTGTCAAGTGTAGTTTTACAATTGGGTACGTTAGTCACATAATGGTTACGATTAACGTGCCCAATTGTAAAACTTACTTGTTGATATAACGGTGGCGAAGTAGATGTAAGCGGTAAGTATGTTGAACAATCTGTAAGGTCTATAACATGTAACATCACAAAAAAAAATGCGAGGTTTTTATTTTTTATTATTTTTATTTTTAACTTTTATTTAAAAATAAATAAATGCTTATTAATATAAACATTACTATTTAATAATTATATAATATAAAAACTAAACATAAACATCGAGATGTGACATATAAATAAATAAAACATAAAATCGAGATCTAAATACAAATAAAACGTAAAATAATTTATATTACATTTTCAATTATTCTAAAAAAAACATTATTTGTAGTATAATTAACATGTAAAAGTCACATATAATTCTGTATTCCTCAACACCGCCTATTTAGTGGAAATAGAGATGAGAATTTTGGAGTTTGAAGGTCAACCAACATTTGTAAACTATAAACGAAATGAAAGTAACTAAATCAAGAAGCAATTATAAATTATAAATTTATTAATAAATAAATTTTTTTGATTTAAAATGAAATTACCTACCTACAGAAGATTTTTAAGGATAGAAATGGAAATGAACTAGAAGAAGAAGATGAAAATAAAAAATAAGGTAATAATATATAAAATAATTTGTAAATAAATAAATATAAAAATAATATATATATATATATACACACATGTATGCATGATCATTTACGAACCAATTAATTAGTAACAACTTTACAAACTCATATGAGTCGTTTATTTTTTATATGATAATTTATATAAAAAATAAAAATAATACAAAATTATTTGTTTATATGTTGTGGACTCCAATTTTAGCCCAACCGTAAACTCCCGCCAATACTGACGAGTGACGAGGAGGTAAACAGTTAAACCGGAGCAAACGACCAACTTTTGCTATCATACGCCATTAGGCGTAATTTTGAATCCCCAAATCCCCTCCATCTACACAACCCTGTAACTATGTCCCACTCACTCTCTCTCATCACCTTTCTCTCTCTACTCTTCCTCTTCCTCTTCTCCTCCGTAACCGCCACCACAATCGGCGTTACTTACATCTCCTCCCCAACTCTCCCGCCACCGGAAAAGGTTGTCGACGTCCTCCAATCCCTAAAGATTACCGCCGTCCGCCTCCCTGTTGCTGACCCTGACATCATCCGAGCTTTCTCCTACACTAACATCTCTCTCTTCCTCGTCATTCCTAATTCACTCATTCCTTCCATCTCCGGCAACCGTTCTGCCGCCTCCCTCTGGATCTACAAGCACGTCATCCCTTTCTACCCGCGTGCGCAGATCACTGCCATATCCGTCGGAAATAACGTCCTCGCTGAAGGCGATGTTACTACCGCCGACCTCCTCCTTCTTGCTATTCGTAACGTCCATCGCTCCCTCGTGGACGTGGGGATTCGGCAAATTACCGTCTCCACAACTTTCTCCTTTGTCAACATCATGACGACATCGTTTCCGCCTTCGTCGGCTGAGTTCCAAGAACCCGCTGGTAAATTCGTCATCAAACCCTTACTCCAGCTCTTAACCGAAACAAATTCATCGTTCTTCGTGAATTTGTACCCCTACTCCGTCTACAAATTACGACCGGAGATCCCAATCGGATTCGCACTGTTTCAAGAACTCGCTTATAACTTTAGAGATGATACAGTCACCGGCGTCAGATACCGCAACTTGTTCGATCTAATGGTGGATGCTGTTATTGCAGCGATGGCTGTCGCTGGACACGAGAACATTCCGGTGGTTGTGGCGGAGACAGGGTGGCCGTGCTTCGATCCCTCCACTGAAGCAGAAGCACGTGGCGTTTATGCTAAGATGTACTTGCAAGGTTTAGTTAATCATCTCCGATCAGGTAAAGGGACGCCGCTGAGGAAAGAAGGGGTGGCGGATGTGTACATTTACGAACTGTTTGATGCAAATGAATCTGTCACCAAAAATCAGGCTTTGAGGAGTGGGGGAACATGGCAAAATTGGGGGGTTTTGTTTCCCAACATGAGTATGAAGTTCCAAATCAATTTCTCTAACGGTGGTTCCATCTCCCCAGCAGCGGTGTACGATATCGTTTTCTGTTTCCTATTACTGGTAATTGGTTATTCAAATTACTTGAGATAGTGATAATTTTTAGATTGATATGAATAGATTACAGATCATATGACGACTGATTAGGGAGGAAATTGTTGTTAATCCCTCCATGGATGACTGTAGATTGATTTCAATGGTGATTACTGTGTTGATTAGGTATATAAATTGGTGTACGTAGTTCCTAGTATGGTGTTAATCCTGTTTTCTGTTTTTCATCAAGGGGCTGTTTGACAGTTGTTGAATGGTTTCATGCAGAATGATTTAGTGTTCAGAATGATTAAGATGCTCTAATGATATAATAAAAAATAAAATATAATTCTTTAGTAATTGTTTACAATTAAATTAGGGTGCAGAATGATCAAGGGAGACCCAAGATACAAAATCATTCAAATGATTTTAGAACCATTTAGAGACATATTTTTTTTTCCAAACAAGATTTATTTTAACGATTTAGATGCTCTTTCTTAATTGAACAATTAAGAAGTAAATAAACAACCCCTAAATTTTCCTTTTGAATGGATGCAGATTTGATAAATTGTCAATTTTCATTTTTCCCTGATGAATTTACTTGAGACAGAATTTGTTATATTGGGCTTCAGATTTGAGTAACCCGTCCGTCATAGTCTTTTGGGCCTAGCATTGGGCAAAGGCCCATCATTTGTTTTATATCTAAAAGGCTCGAAGATATTATGCAATATGCATTATGTTCTTAGCATCGCACATCTTCTTTTTGTTAATCATGGGTATCCAGACCAGTTTGTGCGCATCTTGACTAATTCCAGAGCCCATAAGACAACCAAAAAAATCCCAAGACTCGAACAAATGACCTCCGAGAATGTTCCCTAAAGGCTCAAACCTTATTATCAGTTGAGCTAACTTCACAAGCTTGGACGAACATTTTTATTGTAATTGTTTTAGCACAAGTCAACATCTTCAAAACTTACCATTTTGTCTCTAGTGAAATGAGTCAATTGTTACATCTATGATTGTTGTCTATCACTAAAGTTAAATAAGTTATAATGGGTAATTAATATCTGAGTCTGATTTAAGATGCACTCAGAAGAGTATAAACTTTACAGTTTGTAAGAAAATGGTTTCACTCATAGTTAAAGATAAAAACTTAGGTATCGGTTATATTTACCTTCACTGTGGAGAACAATGATTAAAGAGTTGTGAATGCAATTACTAAGTGGAGCTTCTCAATTGCGTGATGAACCCATCATGATGATTATAATTCATAACGAAAGCTCTAGTTTCTTGCATTTTTACAAGATTAGGATAACAACTTGCGCCACAAATCAATTTAACTGCTTAGCAGCCACACTGGTATGAGCAACAGTGATCCCCTACAAGAAGCATAAGAAACATCACCATCGATGTCTGTTCATATCCTTTTCATCAACGGTATTCCTTTTAACATTCTTTTTAATCAAAAGTAGACCTTCAAACACCATCGTTAATTTAAAATTTTATTAATGAAAAGATGAAAAAAAATGAAATGAATTACCTGTCAAGGGGCAATAATGTGCAATTAATCTACTAGGGGCACTCCTATTATTATGTCCTGGAAAAAGCACGTTCCAATCCTACACTTTTTGGCATCCATGCCCCACCTTCCCAACAAATCTAATCGAATTTATTTCATAAATATTTATTAAAAAAAATTATTATTTGTTTCATTTTTCATAAAGAAAATAAAAAATTAAAATTGGTTAAAAATACCTGTAATTCATACTCACGGATTGTATTTCACCACAATAGTAAAATTCAAGGTTCAAAGAGATGTTTGATTGGTTTAAGCTTGACTGTAAATGTCAAAAGTACTAGGAGGTCTCAGATTCAAATCCAATGAGGAATAAAAATCTTGTTGTGGCCACGGAGGTTCAAATGCGGTGACTTCGGGCCGCTATCTGCAAAGCAGGTGGTCGCTCTGAGATTAGTTGACTCGCATAGCGAGTTGGATATCCAGGTTAATAGAAAAAAAATCAAGATTCAAGGGAATTGTATAAGGAGAATCATAACTAAGCATCGCTTGTATGTGGGTTTTAAGAACGAACGTTCATCATCTATGATTGAGACCTTATACATTTAATGTAAATAAAGACATATGTTATGTACATGTTGGCTATCCACTTATTCGTGTGTGGTATAATTGATGTCACGTAGTATGTCTACCAAATTTACGTTTTTCATGCAGTTCGAGCATTTTCAATATCTCTAAAACCAGTAGACATGGAGATTCAAGCTTTCTTAGGTTACGAGAATGTCTTGAATTAACATTTGTGCTCTTGTATTAAGGGGTACAATCCTCTGAATCGAAGGAAGACAAAAGCATGGTTGGATTTAAGAAAACTAGAGAGGGTGCAATCTACACAATGTATATCTTTCTAAAGGTATTGAAGATGCACACGGAATTCATGAATTATACTGCGTATTGATATGGATTCGAATTTGTACATCGGTGGTTTATGATTATTAGATACCAGAAGAATGGTGATAAGAAAAAGCATAAAGAATTTTATAATCCAATCATGAAAAAGAAATAGGAGAAAAAGAAAAGTAAAAGAAGATGGAAGTCAAATGTAGGAATATGGCGGTGAAGTCGAAGTTGTGGCTGTGAAAAGGAATATGACGTGCAGACCATAAATATCATTACCCCCACGGACCCCCCTTTTTTTGGCTTTTATACAAATTTTCTTCTTAAACAAAATTAGATAATCGAATGTCATTACGCATCCATAACTTTTTACAAGAAAAAGGAATTTTGATAGAGTTATTTATGAGAGCAGTGACCCGTTAGATTTCACCTGTCTGTCTGTTAAGAAAACGGAGTTCAACAATCATATTTGAAATAATGAATGAATTTAGATCAAGTTAAAGGTATATGGGATAACACAGGACGGTACAAAACTCATTGTTATACGTTTAGTGCGACATGAAACAAGATAATAACTCTTTATCCCACGTTTAGCTTGACATGAGAAAAAGATAAGAACTGGGATAACCTGGGATAAAAGATGATTTTTCGAATAAGTGGAACAAAATGGGACAAGAACTAAAATATTATCAATTTACCCTCGTTTGAAATATAACTTGAATATGATATTTGTTTTAGTGGTCACCACCGTAGTCGTGGCCACCTCCACCTCTTCCACTACAAAAACCTCCTCAACCACCTCCACAACCACGTCGACCATCAACCACCATCGTCCATCACCTCTATGACCACCTTCGGCCACCACTACCACCATTGGCCACCTCCACCTCCTCTTCTACTGCAACAACCACCTCTATAACCACCATCAGCCGTCGCCACCACCACCACCACCATCGTGGGCCACCTCATCTCCACTATATCGGCCACAACTACCTCCTCCACCATTGTACCATCACTATCTACCATCTTCAGGTTTGTCGGCCACCAACCATCATCCCCATCGCCACCACTATTAGTACCATCGACCATCACCACCTCCACCTCGACCATAATCACAACAAACATCGACTATCACTACCACTACTCATTACACACCACCACCACACCCTCCACCATATTGATTACAACTATCTATTCCACCACTGTTGACCACCATCACCATTCTTATCTACCATTTTCACGTCATCCACAATCACTGTCGGCCACCGATCACCACCACCATTAGTAGCTCGGCCATCACTACATCCACATCCACTATAACCACCTCCACCTCCAGCATAACTACCACCATCGGTTACCAACACCACTGCCCACCACCAACACATCACCCCTAACTACCTCATCCACCAACACTATAAGATCCCACATTGGATGGAGATGAAAACAAATGGTGTCTTATAAGAGACTTGATACCTCATTTATCAAACACACTTTAAAACCGTGAGTCCTAGTGTATGGACAAAGCGAACAATATATGTTACGGTTAGCCTCAAATGTCATAGATAGTATCATAGTCGGGAACAAGACTCATACCAACGAGGATGCTAGGCTCCCAGGGGGTGGATTGTAAGATCCCATATTAGTTAGAGAGGGAAACAAAGGTTGGTCGCCTTACAAGAGACTTGATACCTCATCTATCAGACATCAGACACATTTTAAAACCATGAGTCCAGGTGTGTGGACAAAGCGACAATATCTTGTACGATTAATCTGGGATGTTATAAACACTATCCACCATATTCACGTACTCCATAACCAACGTCATCCATCAATCACCAATGCCTCTACCTCCACAACCATTATTGTTGCAACAATCTTCATCGTGTCTTCACCAATTGATAACAATCTCAACCACAAGGGTGGTGCCTGATTGGTTTGAGTTTGGGCTCCAAAGGTCAAAGAGGAATAAAAATCCGTTTGTGGCCACAGAGGTTCAAATGAGGTGACTTCAGGATACCTTATCCTCAAATTAGTCGGCTCGCATAGCAGGTTGGATATCTAGGTTAATAATTTATTTTGATAACGATCTCTTAAACCGAATAAAACACTATTTCTCATTTGTACGAATCAGGTTTTTCGACTTACCATCAATTATATCAAATTGTCGTTCAAATTTGGTAATATTATATATGCATGTACTTATGTGTTTGAAAAATGTGTAAAAACGTCTATACATTAAATTAATTTAATAATTTACTTTATTTGTGTTAATTCTAATTATTATATAATATATAAATCATCAAATAACTTATGAGGACAACTTGTTAGTTATGTTCTATCTAATTCTAGTCGTACCAACATTTCCCTCCTCCCAATTCCCACTTATCCTATTTATCTTTTGTTGAAAATTTGCACTCCAAATTTGATAAATTCTAGAATAAAACATCTTCATATTTTATATTTTGTGAAATTATATTTCTTATCAAGTTTTGTCAATTTTAATGTTTTTTTTTCCAGTTGAAAATATTGTTATGTAATTTAAATAACCCGTGATTTTATATAAGTTTTATTTTCTTAAAAATATAAAAGAAAAAACATATCAGGCATGTTAGTCCATGGACAAGCCCAATCCTTTTCTAGGACGGGAAAAAACAAGTTATCAAGTCAAGAAAAAAAACTTTGATCCAAATTCGTGAATAATCACCTCTAAACTTAACACAACTTAAATATATATCATCATAAAATCGTATATTTAGATTTAATTGATTAAAATATCAGATTTTGTAGCTATAAAAAACTATCCACACACGAACAAAGTATCAAAACAAATCAAATATGTATCTGATTAGCCTATACAAGATGATTTAAAATGTATCATCTAAAGCTATATCTTACCAAATTTGATATTACATCCAAGTATCGACTGATTTGAATTATGCATATTTAATTATAACGCAAGTCTTACGGGATTTTCTCGATAATCTTGTTCGATTTCTCAAGAAATTCGATACACATAAAACATTTGATAGGTTTGTCATTTTTCATGTATTATTTCTATTTCATAACTAGATTAATTTTAAATTATGATAATAAAACAAATAAAAAAATACATGTCAGAAAATATATGTAATATTTATGGTGGGAATATTATGTTTAAATATTTTAATAGTTTGAGGTGTATAGAAAAATGGTTTGGACGCTATCAATGTGGCCACGTTTGTTCCCCAATAGTTTATGTATTTTGGTTTTAAAAGTAAATGTGATCTTTAATCAAGATATAATCTAATAAAATAATTTGACAAGTAATTAAGCATTTAAGACATTAAATAATATAAACAAAAACCGAAATTAAATACTTTAATAAATCTATATATTAATGTTAATAATAATATCTTTAAATAAATAATATCGAAATAAAATTTACAATTTACCAATTAAAATATTATATATATATTATGATAATTTAAAATAAACTCGTTTTATTTTCCCTTTTGGATACAAAAGACGTAATTATAACTATAAGAGTGGTGTCCGATTGATTTGAGCTTGGTCTTCAAAGATCAAAAGTGTCTGGAGGTCTTAGGTTTGAATCTAATGAGGAATAAAAATCTTCTTGTGACCATGAATGTTCAAATGCGGTGACTCCGGGCTTTCCGCGAAGCGGGTGGTTTTTCTGGATTAGTCGGCTTGCATAACATGTTGGATATTCAGGTTAATAAAAAAAGACGTAATTGTTATTACTATTTTTATAGTTCAGTTTTACAGAGATTTTATGATCAAGATTGTCTTTTTTTTGAAAATGAGAATAAAAATAAAATAAAAAATATTTCTCTTTTTTAAATAAAGTTGTAAGAGTTTGGTCAACGAACGCTAGATAGAATGAGCACAAACGTAAACCAATGCGTTTTTCATAAGGAAAACAAAGGCAATTACAAATTGGCCCCTAATGAATGAAATTAAACAAATATTGTATCTATAATATATTTAAAGAAATGACTAGTTCTCATTTGATTAAGTCCCTATATATAGTGGACCTCATAATTACCACAAACTATCTAGTTCTCATTTGATTAAGCTCATATATATATATATATATATATATATATATATATAGAGAGAGAGAGAGAGAGAGAGAGAGAGAGATGAAGTTTACTTTACAAACCACGTCATTTGTACAAACCGTACAAACCTCATTCAACTAATCATAAATTTTCATTTTGTTTATTTTTTTTGTAATTATGAAAGGTTGATTAATCATTTTTATTATGGAGGGTATTAATAATTGATATTATCATCTTCATTATTTTAATTTTAGAAAAATACATGAAACAGTTTCATTAAAATTTCATTAAGCATTATATGAAACAATTTCATAACCATATATGAAACAACTTCATCAAAAAAAGTATTATATTAAACAATTTCATAGATTAACAATGAGATGGACGGATGATGATAGTTTGCAAGGTTTATACAAATTGGATGATTTGCATTTGATCGCTCATTCTCTCTCTCTTTATATATATATATATATATATATGTATGGATCACTTTAATCGATAAAAGTAATTAAATTTGTCAAGTTACAATTGAGACTGGTACTAAAAACATGTTTATTAGATTATATTAACTTTGAAACAAAATATAAATCCTTCATATCTAACATATACAAATTTTAAATTTTATTTCGGTGTCTAAAAAAACATGAAAAAAACTAAAGCATGAAATTCAACCTCAAAAAGTCTGGCCTAGCAAGCTCAAGCCCAAGCCCAAGTCATTATTCAAAGGTTCGATCATGCCAACTTTTATTTTTCAATGCTCGAAAAAAACGGTCGAGACCATTTTTTTACATAGAGTCTAACCTATAAAAAGTCTAGGTTTATTTGCTTACTGAAACGGGTTTGGAAGGCTTAGAGTCGAAAAATCCAAACCTTGTGCATCTTTAACGGTGCAACCCTGTGTACACTTATCAAGTCGTTATACATAATGTCGATTTGACGTATGAATGGAGCGGGTGTATTTATGATGTCCGAGGGGTCATTTACCAAACGTTTACAGGATAAGCTTTTACCGGCAAGAGTCAACATAATTCACTTATCTTAGGTGGGTAACATTCTCGCCTATTAAAATTGATTGTTGGTATGGTTTTTTTTACCAGGAAACGCTTACTAGGTAAAAAAAATTTCCTACTTACCGAGTAAAATTATTGATATTTGTTCGAGTAAGATTATCGGCCCTTATAATGCTTACTAGAAAAGTAAGTGACACCTAGTAACTACTTACCGGCCCGTGGTTCATCTTTCATCTAATGAAGCAAGATAGACCAAAATGTGAAAAACAGAAGTTTGTTCCCAAAATATGCATGTTGCGAGATACTTGAGGGACTAGTTTTGTAGATCAGTCAAGAATGATTGAGCTATTCCATTATCATCCGCTTCGCTCCATCCACTACGCTGCAAAAAGCACATCTCTTCCCCAGCATTGGTTGATATATAAATCTCACGCATTCCCAAAGAAAGCCCATTTCTTTGCGCTGCGTCTAAACATTCCCACTATTTGACCTCTGTATTTCTCTTCATCTCTGCAAACCAGAAGAACTTTGACTTCGATAACAAATCCAACTCAAATTTGAACCGAATTCTCTGAATATATCGAGGTATGCACACATAGTAATCTCATCTTTCTTTGCTTTCCATCGAGTCTCAAAAACTTGATGGTCTTTTCTGCAATTTATGTTCGTATTGTTACTGAGATTGATGATACCAACAAAACCCAACTCATATTTGAAACAGAAAACAGCTTTGATTATGATGGGGTTTCAAGATATTAGATCTTTTCAGCAATTGATTTCTTTTCATGTTGTTCTTGAAATTGACAATACCAATAAAACCCCACTCATCTATGAATCAGAAAAGGCAACTTTGACTATAATGGGGTCTCAAAATACTAGGTATTTTCAACAATTTATGTTCCTTACCCTTTCTTGAAATTGATGGTATCAACAAACCTAACTAGTGTTTGAAACAAAAAGCAACTTTGATTACGATGGGGTTAAAAAAACTATCAGATCTTTTCATCAATTTATGTTGCCAGATCGGGTGTGTAAAGTTGAAATCGTATAGGGCCTTCTTCTTCTACAGGTATTGGTTGAGACTGAATCTGAATTGAAAAGGGTGATATAAAGATTTCAAGATCAGATCCAGAGGGGAAAAGGGTCATTATGTCTTTTACTGGAACACAGCAGAAATGCAAGGCTTGTGGGAAGACAGTTTACCCAGTGGAGCTTTTGTCTGCTGATGGTATTGATTATCACAAATCTTGCTTCAAATGTAGCCATTGCAAAGGTACCCTTAAGGTATGATGATGATCTTTCGATTTTTATGATGTTTATTTCATATGATTTACCTATAAAGAAGATTTAAAGGTTAGTTTTTCATTTAACTATATGATAGATAGTTCATGATTTAATGTAAATGGTCTTGGTAATCATCGTCTGGTGCCAGTGGATCTAAGATGTCTGCTAAGAGGTCATTATCCTAATCAAAATTTCTTGTAATATACTTATCCATATTTGATGGATGGGCACAATGTTTATAAGATATTCATGATTTTCAAGAATGATTGACTTTCTGGACTGTGGTGGTTGACTTTTTAGTACAAAATTGCTGTGTTACTTACGAAAATGCCAAACCGAACATTATGCTTTGCGCTGTTTTACACGAATTGTGAAACTGCAGATGCAAAAAGAATCGTCATGGAGAGCAAGTTTTCGGCAGAAATTGCTGATTCCTGCAAAGTTAATGTTCTTTTGGTATTTTTTGCAAGGATGATGTTTATTTGCAATAAAATCTTGGAACTTTATAATAATCTTTTATGTTATTCATCAACAAATTCATCATATCCATTACTCATAGCTGTTTGACTGTGTATATATTGTCTGACTAAAATACCCTTCAACCCTTTAGATCGAAGTCATTTGCATAGAGAAATTCTATAGCACATGTCAAAAGTTACTTGGTTTATCTCGTGTTTGAGATGGGAAATTCCCATATTAACCTCTAATTCAATCTGCAAAAGGGGTATTAAAACTACTTTAACTACATGTTGTGAAGTCACTTGATTACTTGAGTAAAATTGCACAAGCATAGTGTTTAACATAAATTTACATTGCATAGTAACTATAGTTTCATTTCAGCTGAGTAATTACTCGTCAATGGAAGGCGTGCTCTACTGCAAGCCTCACTTCGAGCAGCTCTTCAAGGAGAGTGGAAATTTCAACAAAAACTTCCAATCACGTAGTCTTTATCTCATCCCCATTTGTCTACGCACTAAATTTGGTCCTTTTTTGCGTTATTTGAACTGGTTTCATTATTGTTATTAGTTTGAATCTCTAATGGTTGCATCATTTTGTACAGCTGCAAAGGCAGCAGAGAAGTCATCTCCAATGCTGGTAAAATTTCGGTCTCTCTTACACATATATTATTGGATATGTTAGCAGCATTTTAAGTCTGTTTATGTGTAGACAAAGTCACCTAGCAAAGCTGCTGGCATGTTCTCCGGGACCCAAGAGAAATGCGCGACTTGTGGCAAAACGGCTTATCCTCTGGAGAAGGTACGTACAACCATAAGTTAACTTATGTTCTTAGCTTATTGTAAAAAAAACCCCATTTTGTCAGCCGTAATCTAGCTTTTTGAAAAGTTCTTTTTAAGCAGCATTTCAACAAGCAACAGGGCTTTTTTCCATTTTTCCCCAATTATCCCGTTGTATTTTTCTAATTAATTTATCAACATGTTTTAGTAGGTGATTTTACATTGTCATCCAGCTTATCAACTAGTTTTTATCAAATAGGACTAGTTTATAAGTTTGCTTTTTAGCCAACAACTAGCTTATCAGCTAGTTTACCAAACATAATTGACATGTATTTGATTTACATTAATAGAAAATGATACTTTACCTGATATTCTAGATTGATTGATTTCAGGTAACAGTGGAGAACCAAGCATACCACAAATCATGTTTCAAGTGCTCCCATGGAGGCTGCTCTTTATCTCCATCAAACTATGCAGCATTGGAGGGAATTTTGTACTGCAAGCATCATTTCTCACAGCTATTCAAGGAGAAGGGAAGCTACAATCATCTCATCAAGTCTGCATCCATCAAACGCTCTGCAGCAGCAGCAACAGCCGCAGCAGCACCAACCACCGCCTCTATTCCAGAAGTTTGAAAACACTTGTTATCATCTTATGAACAAAGTTTTTGGTTTGTTTTGCTTGTGTTTGTTTTTATTGGTTATGGTTGAAGATTATTCCCATGCCAGGGAACTGATTAAAACTTTGAACCTATCGGCTTTCTTTTGTTTGATTGATTCTTTGCTGAGTGTCCATGCCCATTTTTATCAGAACATATTTTCACTGTTCTTTGAATTGAGTTGACCGACACTGAAAAGTCAGATTGTTCATGAATGTTTAACTTTCTGCTACCATTGTTAACCTGGAGACACCAGGTTCACCTTCATTTGCACATAGATACATGAGTTGTTACAAAATCACATATATTAAACTGGAAATTTGCAAAGTTCTATAATTAATGAATCAGTACAAAGCCGATATAATGTATTTTTGTGGGATTAATTCTACAACTCTTTCCTGAAAGAATCAATATCAAAACTACTGAAAAGAAGAAATTTCTCCATATGAACTCTAAACAGGGGAGTTCAGATCAGAGATATGTTGGCCTCTTTTCAAGGGTTTCTGTGCCAAAAAGAGTTTGAATGTTAGAGGGATGATGGAAGACACCAGCAGTGAGCACATACACCCTATAGGTCCTCAAGGAGGTCGTTCCTGTACCCTTGAATCCAGAAGCAAAAACGAGGCATCTCAGCTTAAGTTAAACAGAAACGTCATCTCATTTGGCACTGCGCTTCTTAACTTCACCATAAAGAATAACGCCAATGACCGTGAGTGTGTAGCCAGCCATCCCAGTCACAGAAACTGGATTCCTAAAGATTAAGATCGAGACCACGACAGCTACTGCGCCTTTTGCGTTTCCAAGGACCTGGAGACAAGGACCCAATTGTTATCAACACACGAAGTTATCCTGCTTCATGTTTCCTAGGTGTTTCATGATGAAAATTCCTTTCTATTCATGATAAAAATGCACAATATCTTGAAGTACGAAAATGCATTAAATTCATGATGAATAAGATTCAGGGTAATTGTCTTGAATAATACATGGTTCTCATTTGAACTTTCCTGCCAGTTTGTTAGCAGCAGCTTAATGGGACTCGGCTTATTCGGTCAGTTGTATATAACTGATTGGTAGTGGCTTAATGACATAGAAAGTAATTTATTCGGTAAGCTTCTAGGGGGAGTTTTATGCAGAAAGTTGAGTTTTTTTTCCAAACATGTCCTTCCCGATTGAACGAGTGGTAAAACTATACCAGAAAGTTCTAATGATCCGGATGTTTTGCTTCACTTTACTTAATTTCATTTTGGAATTTTGACAAAAGGTCCATTTATATATAATAATTGCATTGTAGCGGGTATAGTTAGGTGAAAAGAACCCCCATCGGGGAGTGAAATAGAACATTCTTGTTATTGCTTCGACTCATATTCCCCAAAAAGTACATGCTCGTTCCATCTATGAAAAATCTTTCCAAACAAAAATCTTACCAATCCATACAAACAGATTAATCTAGACAGACAACTTTATCCATGCAGAGACTTGATGGAAAACCAACCAAACAATCCCTAAGTCTGTAATCCTATATTTTTCACAAGTCCACACTAATGTAATAAAATGTAACATGTAATCTAGATGATGACCTGACTCCCTACCATAAGCTTCATAACTTAATAACTCCGAATAAATGTGCACAAAGAGTCATCAACAACTACCGAAGAGGCAAAGAGGTTTACCTGGAGCGTAAGAGCACTGGTATGCTTGGTGACCAAAAAGTTGGTTAAATTAACAAAATAAGCAAGGGAAGAGTTGAAAAGCAGTAGCCAGACAATCCCAAAATCTTGTCTAGCAAGCGCTATTGTTAAGCCAACAACATTCTCTTCCATGTACATAGTTGCAGGAAGTAGAAGTACAACAGCAATAGGAGCCATGTACAGAAGGAGATTCATGGAGTTCAGCTTCTCCCTAAACCAAAATGAAGAGTAATCACACATCAGTTGCACCCTCCATACAAATCTATGGCAATCTAGCAAGATCATTTCAGGAAAGAAATGCAATAAATAATTCTTTACCCTTCAGAGGAAAGCAACATCCCTTGAACCACTGTTTTGAGTGCTCTAGCAGCAGTAGCACCAATACACATTATAAATCCAAATAGATTGAAACTTGGTTCACCCTGAGAAGTGAAAACAGCAAAGAATATAAAGACAATTGGAACTCCATTGCCCAAATTGTAATTCCCATATACTTCAATGGCAACTGTCTACCCTCAATTAGCTACCAAGAAACCAACAAAAATTTCCAATTAATTTACACAATTTGATACTCTCCTGTCTTCATCTCTAATTCCCATGATATCTTAAAACCTAACCTTTTCATTAAGGGACCATCGAATTAATGCCAACAAACAATATGCAGAAGAATTGAAAAGGAAAAAAAGAGAAGATATTAAGCATACCCCACTGGCGATAACAACGCCGGTAACAACAGGAATGAGGGTGATATAAGTAAGCCAAGCCTCCCTTTTCAAAGTCAGGAGATATGCAAAAACCGCCGTGAAAAATGGCGTCGTAGCCCCAATTGCCTGATTAAAGGAGACAGGCAAATAGCGAAGCGATATATTACCACTGACAACGGATGCACAGAAGATTAGACTCAAAGCAGATATCTTAACGAATTGAACACGAGATCTGATTGCCTGCAAAGGAACCATCTTCATCCATGCAATGGCAATGTAGCTGAGCAAAGCACAGGATGACATGTGGCACATTGTAAGAAAAATTGGGTACTTGAATCCGTAATTGCTTAAGAGGTATTTGTTGAGCAATAACACCCCGATGTTTGATGAGTACCATGCTGATACGAGGCCGAACGTAAAGAATCGGCTCGACGGCGATGTCTTTATTGCCGACATTTGGGAATTGGCCGGAAACAAAACGGAAACCCGATCGATCGATGGGTACTAATTGTAATTGAATCTTGTTTCTGATTGTATACAGTTAGGGTGATGAATCTGGGTAAGAAGACATTAGAGAGAGGAAGATGAAATGAAAATGGTAACAGAGTGAGAGAGAGAGAGAGGAGGGGGTGGTAGGTCGCGTTTTGAGGACGACTGACCACGATTATGCTTGAAGAGAATTATGTCTAAGACTTTTATTTTTGTTTCACGGGTATTTAAGATTGTTTATAAAAATAATTTATTGATTTATTTTAGTATGATATTGTTAATAAGTATTTTTTAGTTTTTGGATAAACAACTTGTACCGATGTTAAACTGGTAATAAGAAGTTTTTGAAAAAAAGTTAATTTTTTCTGACTAATAATAAGTTGATAAGTGTTTTTTTAGAAAAACATAAGTTATTTCAAATAAGCAATCCCAAACACCCCTAAAAGGTATTTTAATTATAGGGTTATTAATCAAAATATGTTATCGAGTCAAATTTTAACTTTGTATTTTGGGTTCCGATGAGAAGGCTAGTTAAGGTGAAAAACGTAAGAAGGGATCTTCATCTTGGATGCATATTATTATGAAATGCATTGAATCAATCCTCGTATCAAGCGCAATTCATGTATAGCTTGAGATTAAAGGTAATTAAGGGTCTAAATTCTTTCTTACGCTTCTCATTTTAACTATCATTCTCACATGATTCTTTTTACTTAAAAGGATAGATTGTATTGAAAATGGATGTATTTTGTTTTAATTCGTATCTTTTATACGATTCAAAAATGTTTTATAACTTTGAGGAAAGAAAACGTTGTGATAATCATTTTATCCATGTATATGCATATTGCAACAAAGAAAGGTCAAAAGGAACATCGATGTTAGGGTCGAGCGACTTAGGATGCGCCATAAGTCACCCTTGACACTCTCAAGTGGCTCGTGTCCATGGAGTAGCAGGCATTGTCCAGCGCCCTCACCCACGGTGCTACCCGACAACTTTTGGCTTTTTACAGTTTGTCTTCTCTCTCTCAGACGACTTCTTCATGCAGCTTAGATTGCCCTACCAAATCACCTACAACATGTAGACGCCTAGCCCATTCCCTCGTCCACTCCGCTTTGCCTTTTGCTTTATACATCAAGTGTTCTTTTTGTCACTTTTGTTGTTTATTCTTTTTGCTTAGCTTCTCCAACAAACACCACCTCTTACACACTCTCTCTCAAGATGTTTCCATTAGTGCACCTGAAGTGAGTGTGTTCTTGACATTTGGAAGCTTTGATAGATCTTGGCACATTCTAATCTCCTAGCAACATAAATCTTGCACTCTCTCTTTGTTAGATGTAATGTGAAACCGATTTAAATACTCGTATTATTTGGTTGTAAACTTGTTATATGCTTAGAACTTGCATATCGTGTTGATATTTACTTTGTGGTTTGTATCTCTTTTTTTGAGCTTGTGTACAACATCTTGATGTTAGATTGTTTGTGCATTTGGATTTTTACTAACTTTGGAACCATATAAATCACTTGTATAGGTTGCATATTTGGCATATCCACCCTTAGAGCACCCACATGGGGCTTGCAATTTGAATTGCAAATTGACTTTTGTCAGGTATCTTGCTGCCATGTAGGATCTCAATTGCAAAATTTGCAATTCACATTGAAAGCCACGTGGGCTATCAACATCCTCTCCAAAATTTTTTTTTTTTTCTGATTATTTAAATAAATTAATTTTTATAATATTAATATATTTATTAATTATATTAATTATTCTTATATGAAAATATTCTATGCATATATATATATGTTATTTAAAAAAATATAAATATTTTATAACTAAATTAATTTAAACATTAAATTTTATAATTACATACATTACAATTAACCAATATATAAAATTACATATAATAATATATCACGCATAATTAATAATTCGTCTAAAAGTTGACGGATTTTTTTATCGTACAATTTTCGTTGTTGGTCTGTCATAGTTGAAGAGATTTGGAGCCGATTTCAAGGAGAAGAAAACAATGATTAATGTAACGTTTTATTTCTATCTATATGTAATATTTTTAATTCAATAAATGTTGTGTTTTGATATGATTTAATAAATTAATGTTTCAAATTTAAAACAATAAATTATATAATTATTATATTATATTATATCATATATTAATCGTTTTAATTAACATTGAATGAAAATAAAACATGTTATTAATTAAAAAATAATTAGAATGTATATATAAATAATTTATAAATAGTTAATAAATGTTGTAGTGGGGACCACTTTTGAAAGTGTAGGTGAATTGCAGGTGTGTAGGTGGTAATTGCAAAAGCTGACGTGACACAGTTGAAAGTGTTGTAGGTGAATTGCAGGTGTGTGGAAGATAATTGCAAAAGCTGATGTGGCACAATTGAAAGTGTAAATGGATTGCAGAGATGTGGATGGTCTTACAAAAAAATTACTATAATTTTATTAAAAATTATATTTTAATATTTAATATGTTTTCGGATATTAAAATTAAACTCCTGAAAATAAGTTCTAATTAGAAAATAAATAGCTAAATAAAATATATTTATGATCTTAGTATTATATGTCATGCATACTCTAAAAGCAAAATTCTTCCTTGTAAAAATCAAGACCATTATTTGATTAAGAAGAATCTCGTGCAACTGGACCGTAACTAGAAATGCATAATCGGTTAACCACACCAAACATTGAAAAATATATGAGCTTGAACTCGAGCCCAACTTTGAAAAAGTTAATCAAGCTTGAGCCAAGCTTGAATAACCTACTACTCAACTCGACTCATTTACATCCCTAAGCCAAAGCACCCAACCAGTTAACAGGTAATGCCCAAATGCCCAAACCACAACATATCTTTTTCTAATCATGGATGACTAGATCAGTTTGCTTATAATTCATCCAACTTCACAGTACACTAAAGTTGACAAGAAGAAAATCCTTTTCAAATCATCATGCCTGAGTTGTGCAGGCTATTCATAGTTAGTTGCAGAATTTCAAAACCTCTTGACCATCTTTCATATTATAAAACAATCAAATTGTTTGCTTATAGTTGTTTGTTAAGGTGAAACTTTCTGCTGATGCATTGATACTTGACATGGTTATACTAGGATGGCTATATCAAGAAAAAGAATCATTAGAAAAAGTACATGATATTTGAATACTTGACCCATGTTTCCCATGTCAAGAAATTAAAACTTCCAACACAAATGGTCAAAAGAACTACTACAAGAACAATTAAATGACCAGCAAAATCCTCCATATGTTTCTTGGATAAAACTGCAAGCACAGAAAGGTTGCAAGGGATTCCAATCAGTTGAATTGCAAGCACAGGACTTCATAATGATACTAAAGAACACAAGATCCTATAAACATAATCAAGCATGCATAAAATTGAAGAACCAGGAGAATAAATCAGTCACAAGAACATACACAAATATTCAATATACAGACAATGCGATGGTGAAAAACACTGAACCGTAGACCAAACCCACCTAGTATGTCCTACCTAGAAGTGGGGTCTAGAGAGGGAGTGAGATGTACGGAGACATGTCCTCTAACCGGAGAGTAGGGCAGCTGTTTCCATAAAGGCACAAATTGTAAAATGTTTACCAATTAGCAATCATCTACCAAATCTGTTTGCATACAATCGCTTCCAACCCCATTATGCAAACAAGAACAAGATAAAAAAGACTATGGACAGAAAATGTTTTTGGCTGGTATTTATGTGTGTGTTAGTTGAGAGATCACACAAGTACATGTTTAAAAGAATCATATGGTAAGCAACAGTAAATGAAATCTTCAGAATTTTTTAGTAGATGATAACAGGTTAACCTGTCTCTGGTTTTTGCTCAATACAGAGGGGAAGTAACCGCTAACTAGCATCTTATGAGTAGAACATGTCATTCATACAGTTAACAACAAAATATTGAATCCAAAACCTAAAATTACAGGTTTTTCGTTCTCCCAATTCCTAATAAAAGGTTTCTTGTATGACTTGGGGCAGTTGCCTATGACCAATCTGAAGATGTAATCAAGATTCCTTTACCAACCATTACAAACACATTGAAGCACATTCTATTTAACTACAAAGTAAAACGAAAGGAATGAGCAAAATTAAATAAAGATGATACCTTATATATTGCTTGGGTACATGAAGACTCTAACCCTAGATCCCTGCAACAACAAATATAACACGCATTTAGACAGATTTCACACCCGAAAACACACAAAATGCGGCTAAAAGATCCATATCTGGGTGTATTTTTACCATGGATTTGGGAGGGAGATTTGACTTGAACTTTGCACGTACGATACCGGTGTTACCATGAGGCCTGGTAACTTTCCCCCAAATGCAACGATAATGTGATCCGTTTCTCTTCACCTTTGCTTTGTATATGTACGCCATGCGCTTCCCTTGGTACCATCCTACTTCCTCCTTAGTGTTGACTCCCTCAATTTGAATCAACGATGTATTTGGATACTGGTTCGACTTCGACCTAACCATAACCATAACCATAACCAAATACAAAATCAACAAATTTCCGGTTTTAATTACGGATAACAAATTATACAATTTAAAAACACTGATTCTATCATGACTAAATGAACTGCTTTACCTTTTGTAGCCGAGAATCGTTCCTCTCGTGTAGAGTCTGAAATTTGAAAATAAGACGTCACATCAAATGTTTTCCAAATAGAATTTGAATATGATTTCAACAGAAAAGGATTATACCTGACGCGTTCTCCTTGGCGGCCCTTCACCATCTTGCTTCAGCAGATACTTTCCGACGCCTGCCCTGATGATGAAGAAACAATAAACCCTAGCTCTCTTATGTCACAACTATTTATAGGTCGGATTATTTGGATCATATCTTAGGGCTAGTCATGTGATTTCATGGGCTTCAAGATGGTTGTTTTCATAAATGCTTAGCCCAAATGTCTAACCCTACTTGAAGAAAAAATCTAATTTAAAAAAATAAAAATAAATAACAACTGTGCACATCATATTTACCATGGGTTGTTTGTTTGCCTCCTAATAGTTTTATTAAAAGATTATCTTTAATCGCTAAGAGGTGAATATTTGTCTCTTAATGGTTTTGTATCATGGACCTCCCTTAACCATTCAGCATGCTAATTCCATTGTAAATAATTATCGAACAATTATATGTCTTAATCATTCTGACTACTTAATCATTCTGCACCAAACCATTCAACAACTGTCAAACAATCACTAAATCAAACGTATATGATATATCACATCCGAAATTACGGTATCGAAATAGTAGAATGTATGTACACCTTTTCTTAACGACCTTTGATTGTATTTTCTATTCGTTATCTTTAATCCCATTAGTTTATAAAATGCGTTAAACTCGATAGTGCTCGATGAATCAAGACAAATGGACGAAGTTTCAAGTCCTCATGACGCAAAATTGTATATGTTAAAACTTAACGACTCACACAAATATCAGCTGATGTGGGACATGTCAAACAACGGGTCTATACATTCGTGAAATGATGGAAGCATGACAAATGTATAGACTTCATAAGCACGTAACTGAAGATGATTTGAAATATTCGTTTGCACGATTATACAGAATTGAAGTATTTTAATTATTTTTTGCTACACGTGCCAAAAATAACGCCATATAAGAATACGGTTGTATGCCTATGAGAAAACAGTTTGAAATATAATTAGAACATATCTAACATACCTTCGTCCCAATTGTTTCCGATCACATGTTTTGTCGTATATTCTTGGATTTATGGTTGGCTGATTAATGTCTTGGGAGAGAGAAAGAAGTAGTGTTTGAGCTTACAATTCGCATAGAATTGCAAGGTAAATGAGAAATACGAAAACAAGTTATCCATTTTATCCATCTTTCATCAAAACAGAATTAACTTGCATCTATTTTGCCTTTTGATATCGATTTTGACATAATGTCATCTAGCGGGGACACGAGTAAAGGTAACACTTTACCCATCACCGCAAGACGAAAGAAGAATGTCGATTCCATGGAATCTTTGCAAGAAATCGGCGGTGGCGGTGGTTATTGGAATCATCACCGCCACCCGTGGCAAATATCCTCGTTAGGTCCTTGTTTCATGATACCCATAAGAATAAATTCTTTGTTGAAATGTTTAATGCCAAGAAAGAATAGAACCAATTGCATCGTCACCATTTTCATGTTAATAATGGTGACCATCATGTTCACCAAATATATACACATGATTAACTTCAATGCTGAGATGGCCAACGAAGAAGAAGACCTTGTCGTTATCAGGCGTCAAATTCTAGCTGAAACCAATCTCAAACATGTGCAGGTTTTGCTGAAATCCTTCTTGTTTTGCCCTTTTTGCTGAACCCTCGACTTAAGTTTATAGGATCAAACAATGTTTTTTTTTCTCCTTTTTCGTTTGATTGGGATTCATGGTTTCTCCTTAATTTGCTTAACAGGCTCCTGGCATTTGGAGAAATCCGAGAAGCGATAACTACCATGGCTGCATCGGTCGATTAACAAGCGAAACAAGTATGCAAATTAATCTATTCTGGTACACTTGTGTAAAAGATGAAAATCGATTCACTCACTACCAATTCTACAAGTTTTTTGTTCTCATCAGGAAATCGAAGTGCTCCTACGAATGGTTACATCCTGGTTCAGGCAAATGGTGGGTTGAACCAAATGAAAATGGGGGTTAGCATCCTTGTCATCCAATCCTGCGTTTATCTGTTCATTTTGTTGTTTGTTGTTTCATTTCAAAAACACAGACATTAACTTTTCGATCTTGATCTCTTTACAGATAAGTGACATGGTGGCGATTGCGAAACTGATGCATGCTACGTTGGTTCTTCCAACTTTAGATCACAAGTCGTTTTGGACTGATCCGAGGTAGGCTAATGAACAGTCAGATCACACGCAAATAAGATAGTACATCATAAGTAGTTATTGTTTTTCTGAGATTGATCTGTTTCCAGTGATTTTAAAGATATATTCGACGTCAAGCAGTTCATGGCAACGCTCCAAGATGACATCGAGATAGTAGAGTCGCTTCCACCAGACGTAGCAGGAGTGACACCCGAAGAAAAGGATCCGATTTCTTGGTCAAAGGCACGTACGTCTGTATATACATGATCAAACTCTTTAAAATGTTGTCATTTCTCCGCTATATATATGTTGGAACCTTCATTCTCTTCTCAAAAGCTCTTTTGGACCGTAATATAGTGGCTACCACATATTCTCACATGTTACGGGCACTAGCTCGACAATTTGGGACAATCTGCTCCCGTCTAGGCTTAGTTGGATGGGGCATAATCTAATCAGTTGTTTGGATGCAGCCCAGTTATTACGAAGGTGAGATTCTTCCGCTGTTGACGCGACAGAAAGTGGTTAAGTTTCTCCACACCGATTCGCGGCTGGCTAACAATGGCATCCCAGATTCCATCCAAAAGCTCAGGTGCCGAACCATGTATGAGGCCCTAAAATGCACAAAGGAAATCAACGAGCTTGGAAGAAAGCTGGTCAACAGACTTAAGCAAAACAATGAGCACTATCTTGCTCTCCATTTGAGGTATCTAAAGCTAATACACTACAAGTTTTCTAGGACAAAAAATAAAACTTGTTAGGATGTCCAAAAAGCGTCTTATCAACTTATTATAACACGTTTACATAGTATAACTGAAGTCCTATAAGACAGTCTATTAAGACATTTGGATATATTTGCCTGTCCTATAAACAAATATTTTTGTTGGATATTATCGTCTTCACTTGTATGATTTATATGGGTTTCAAATTATTATAGATTTGAAAAGGATATGCTAGCTTTCACAGGCTGCACTCATGGGCTTTCCGAAAAGGAAGCAGACGAGCTTAAAGCGTTGAGGTACAGCGTAAAGCGTTGGAAGGTTAAAAAGATAAAAAGCAGGCGAAACAGGCAACAAGGGAATTGCCCGTTGACGCCTAGAGAGTCCGCTATATTTCTACAGGCGTTGGGATTTCCTTCGAGTACGAAGATCTATATAGTGGCGGGTGAGATCTATGGAGAACACGGACTCGATGATTTTAAAGAGAAATATCCGAACGTATACACGCACTCGACTTTGGCAACCGAGGATGAGTTGAAGCCTTTTAAAAGATTTCATAACCAGCTTGCAGCATTGGATTATACACTAGCACTTGCGAGTGATGTTTTTGTATACACCTATGACGGAAACATGGCTAAGGCTATCCAAGGCCATCGGATGTTCAGAGGCTTTCAGAAAACCATTTATCCCGATAAGTAAGTCGTCTAACAATCAAACCAATTAAGCACCCAACTAAACATAAATGAAATGAAAAAGTTCATTGCTTATAGAAAACCGAATTTCTACTACGTTAAATATGTCTAAATGTCCTAATAAACCGTTTTTAAACTTTGATTTATATGATAAAACAACTATATGTAAAAGTATTATAATAAGTTGATAAAATGATTTTTGACGTCCTCACTTTTGAATAAAGTGTCTTATTGCTTTTTTTTATAAAGCACTTTTGATCGTATAGTGTCATATAAAAAGATATACCGAGGGCTTTTTGGTTGGTTTTTCATTACTAGATGGATTACGAAAGTTTTTCTTTGGAAGAGTATTTTTATAGAGGGAAGAAGCGTATTTTTTAATTGGGAAAGACACATATGGAAAAAATTTGTCTTTCTGCATAAAGCTCTTTTCTACAAGCTTACTAATCAATGAGTCACTTTCTATATTATTAAATCACTACCAAACATTCATATATATATATATATATATATATATATATATATATAGCCAACCAAATAAGTTGCGAGTCTCATTAATCTGCTAGCAAAAACAGACCCTTAAAGCCGATTTTGATGTAGCTAGTCGTCTTTCATGTTTCATTAGATCCCAAATTATATCTCCATTACTACATGAAGAAAGGATTCCTGACATCTGTATTTGGTATTTTCTGCAGAAGAAATTTTGTGAGGATGTTGGATGAACTTGACAGAAGGAACTTGAGTTGGGAAGATTTCTCATCAGAGGTTAAGAACCTGCATGCAAATAGAACAAGCAGGCCGCGACGGAGAGTAGGTGGAGTGAAGCCAAAACACGAAGAGAACTTCTATGCAAATCCATTCCCTGGTTGCATATGCGAGAATAGATAGACAGATAATTAGATATATAACAGGAATAAACAAGGATCGAAAAAAGAACATGAACCCGTGAGACCAGGCTCGTTTTCAAAGTCGAGGAATTAAACCAGAAGGACGGATCGGATGGCTCTCTGATTTGTTAGAGAAACGCCGTTAGACGTGCAGATCGCTGTTGATAAATCGTTTCTGGACTACAAGCATGACAATTGTATATATTCTAAAGGGAATTCTAGACTCTAGAATAGATGCAAACTGGAACTAGGATATTAGAGAAGTAAAGAAGGATAGCAGGTTTTCCATCTTTGATACATTTTTTTCCAGTAAAGTTGTAAGATTCATATCAAATGCTTCCTGACCCATAATCACATGTTCCGATTAAATCTTAACCCGTTGAACTTTCTTGGTTTATGTGCTCGGATACGTGAAACCACAACCACGTGGATATGTGCCCGTTACTTAATTTCCGATCCTCATCATTATAATTTATTTTGATACCTAAAATTTTGGTACATCAAAACATATCGAATGCATCAAAGTTACTGATAAGTGTTTATCTGGGTAAGAGTCGTCATTCTTATTTACCGGGTAAGAGTAAGACTCTCTATATTTTCATTGCTCTTACCAGGTAAGATTCTTGGCCCTTCTCATGTTCATACGATAAGAAAATTTATCCGATAAGCACTTACCAAGTAAGTGTTTAATAAACGGTCCATAACATATCTTTTTGTTACTAAAATATCATAAAAAAGTATTTGGCATGCAGATTACCCAAACTTCAAAGTTTAGGGACTAAAATGCAACAAATGTTAAAAGTATGGTCTCTACCTTTTTCTTACGATTCGTTCCTTCACCATTGGCCTGTACCCGTCGATCCCTCTCCGATTCCACTCTTCTGATCTTCCGGTTCTTTAAACCAGGTGAGTTCATGTTTTAGGGTTTATATTATTACCTTATGTCAAAGTTCATCTTTTTATCAACAGAAAAAATCTGTGTGAATCATATTTTGAATTTTAATCAATCGGTTTAGGGTTTAAATAGTGTAATTTCTCCTATTCTTTCATATACTACCAAAAATCACGAATTCAGTTATGGAAGAAATTGTGCTACTTAATTAACATTCTGTAAATTTTACTAATGATGTTTCCGATTTCCGATCGAACAGAAAAATGTGTTTGAATCACCAAATTGGCAGGGCAGTTGAAATTGTTTGTCATTTGGAGTTATTATCAAGCCATCACCTCTGAAATTTGAATACATGATGACTTCAACTTTAGTATGAATACATGTGAATGAAGGGAAGATAAATAAATGTAATATGCTAAGGTGTATGCTATAATGCTAATCGCTAGGAGATTAATCAGGAAATAACTAATAAGTAAGTCCACCATGGCAGATAGCAAAAGAGAGAGGGCATCAGGATGAACTGTCAAACTCGTTAGCGTTGAGAGCCAATGTGAATAATCTTCTTCACGTTTGTAGTTCAGATGAGAACTTTTGAAACTCTCACAGCACATCTGGATGCATGTACGTTAGTTCAATCATGTTTTCTTGCCTTAGAAGTTTTACAGACATAAATACAGGATGCCATTACAAGCTTTTCCACTGCGTATTATTTAGCTTCTAAACATTTTCATTCTAACCATTTAAACGTATGAAGAGGGGGGTGGCTCTTGAAACTCAGATCAAGTAAAATGAATCAGGTAGTTCAGTTCACCAATTGAAGTGTGTATCAGTGTATGAAATGTGCTGGGATTGAAACAGGGCATGGTTAATGAAGAATAGAACCTCTTGTTAACATAGTAATCTGAATCGCCATTATGTCTCATCAAATTAGGCTCCGAGGTTAAATTTTTATGAGAATGAAAGGTTTGGAAACATCAAATCACCATCACTCTCGCGTTTGTGCTTCAACAAGATACACAACTGATAATTTGAAAAACATTGGAAGAGAAGGGGGGCAACCTCACTACGCCAAGGCTCCCGGACTTCGCATTGGTTGTGGAGGCAGATATTTGTGACCTCTACTCTATTACTTGTGATGTTTTCCAGGAACAAGTATCTTTGATTTGGGTCTTCCAAGAATGTTTATTGAAGTGGACTAACACATGCTATACAAATACAGGATATGGGTCTTTGGACACTACTGGAGGGGTGTCTGCTTATTGCAAATGCATTAGCAATATTGAATGAGGATCGTTTTCTTGCACCTAGAGGATGGAGCTTCCAAGAGTATTCAGGGGTGAAGAGAAATTCCCTCAAGGGACAGATCATTGGTCTCATTTATGCCACCCAATACTTGAGGGTTATATTGTTAATCCTCAACTCCCTTTGCATTGTTGTAAAGCTGGTTTCCGGATGATTATCCAAAAGTAAGTCATTCTGCAATGTCTTATTGAATAGCTTAACACAGCTTTCATAATCATATTCCTTTTAATTTGTATTTTTCTCTTTTGTAGTTTCTTGTCTTCCTGTGTAAATTAGCATTGAGAACCCATCCATTCCAGGAAGATGTACCATTTTGACTTTTCAGGTCAATTGGATTCACTTTAGCTTCAAATATGATATCTTCGGATTTTCTATTAAATGGATAAATAAATCATATCCTAATACTAGAAATGAACGAATGCTTGGTGTTAAAATTGTAAGTGGATCAATGTCATTTTGACTTTAAAAAGGCGATAATTATTATCTTACCCATACCTCATTTTTGGGAGATATAGTCCTTTTTTATTTTTTCTGTTTCTGTTTCTGTTTCACACATGCATATTGATGTTATCTATATTTTGCATGTCAGATCAAGAATGTAGTTGTGGTGTGTCATTGAAGGCTGGACCTAGTCACAGAAAATTCAAGTGGATTTTCTTGAAAGGACAATACTGCTGGCAAATAAACTTTTGTTATATAGTGGCTTTGATTGTCAAGTACATGCATTTAGTTGGGGTAACATGTTCCGGTTAGTGGATTGAGTTGTTATGGCCTCTTTGAAAACTTACAGTTAAGATCTGACTGGGTTCCTAGTGCTATATCATCTTCGTAAGGTTGCAATTCCGAGTGTCGTGCGTTTGATTACTTGCTTCATCTTCATTGAAGTGTTGCAATTATACCTGGTTATTCGTTTATGCTTGAACCAACCATGCTGTCTTAACACTTGGTATGCATTGCGACTTATCTAACTACAAGGAGCAAGAGTATCAGGGTGAGACTAGAAGCTACAAAAGCCCAACAATATTTAATAGAACTCTTACAAGTCACTGGACAAAACATTAGGTTCCACATTAACATGATGACATGGTTCGACCGTTATCTATGATATTTTTGTGTAAAAGTTAACTTGATACCAATTACCAAATACAACATAACACTAGTATGGAAACAATCAATAGCTAGAAAAGTATTACTGCGCTATATGTTAAGCATTCAATAAAAACTACGATGGAAATAAAAAATCACATATCAGCAAAAAAGTGATAAGTATTGGAGTCTACAGCAATTAGCCTCAAGGCAGCAGTTGCTGCTGCTACAGCCATGATAGCAAAGAAACAAACATTGAGCCAATGCCATGACTTCTGTAAACAACTGAGGTTATTTTCCTTGGCTACTAAATACATGTGATTTGCAAGAATAAATGTCAGTGGGAAAGTACTGATCGCCCCTGTTAGGCTCATGAAGTCTCCAAGAAATGGCAATGCTGCCGATACAAAAGTGGTGATGCTAAGATAACCCCCTCTCACCATGATTCTGAACAAGAAGTTTCTAAGGGCCAATGCACTTCCTTTTATTCCATATTTGGTGTCCAAATACTCGTACAACGGACTTGCAAATATCTAGAAACAACAAAATCAAAAACTGTGTTAGTCTAGAACCAAAAACAGGGGAGAGAAGGGTTGAAATGGCAGAAGGGCAGGAGTATGAGGTAGAACATTACGTGCAGAGATATAACAGACTGGAAAAAGGCAGATATGTTGGCAAATGTCTTCAACCAAAGTGGACCATGAACGTTGTTGAGCAAATAGGATGAGGCACCATTGCCGTAAGCCCAGTACCCCATAAAGACAACCGCATATAGTGGCAAAACTCCTACTGAGAACTGGAAGTATAGAGCCTTTATCATGTTACTAACAACTGGCGGTCTCACTGTTGCCTACAAGATAACAACATTTAACAATACAAAGAACATCATTGATCTTCATAACAAAGTCCTGGAGTAACCTTGAGGGCCAGCTTAACTGGCAAATAAAGGCCAGACTTTGGGGCTCCTCCCCATAGGTCACCAGTTTGAGTCTTCTCAAGGTCAATAGGGATTTTCCTTGGCAGTTATCTTCTGGATTCCCACGGTTACCCAAAAAAGATCCTAGTGTTGTAACTTGTGAATTTTACCTGTATCTCTGGGAGCATTCCGGTGTTGAAAGCAAACACAAGACTTGCAGAAGCACCAATGATTGTAAAGATCTTGCTTGTGTGTGTTCCTGGCTTGCTATAGTCCCTTGGTGGAGATTGAATTCCTACAAATAAAACCATACAACAAAAACAACCTTTTTAAGACATCTGATGACTAGTTGTAATATCTATCACAATAGCAGAGAACAGATGGTACCATCACGAAGAGACAGGACAACTGCTGTAACAATATATACGATGCTTAGGATTGTAGAAACTCCCAACCAAATTCTTAGAGCGGAAAGATGAGGGATACAGATTGCAAAAATGGCACATGTGAACCCTGAGATTGCAATGAAGTATGGGAGCTTCATGGCACCATCATCCCTAAAAATGATATAAATGGCCTGCAAAAATCTAGAACTATGAGATATAGGGATAATGTAATCCTCATTGAATTCCAGTTTGGAATACCTTTAGAGCCTGACCAGCCAACATGATATAACCGACGTTAATCATGAAAAGATTCACATATTGCAAGATCCATGTAAGAGAATAAGCTTTTGGACCTGCAAAACGTCAATCATTTATATTAATTCTGTTGGCAAGAATGTATAAAAGTACCTCTGTTCTTGGTGATCACTAACCATACACATAGGCTGCAAGGTCTCTGTATCTGATATGCCTCTTCCCACCAAACTCATGGAGCCTGGCAATGAGGACATTTGCATATAGTGATATGGCTGTAGCTGCGATTAAACCCACGACTCCACCAACCCAACCAAGAGGAACCATGACTGCACCTGAATACCCCAACACATAAGCACTGTTGATACCCGTTGTAAGAACAAACCCCACTTGAAACCACGAGTCTGCATCATTAGAAAACAACCCAAAAACACACTTCCATAAGGATCATTTTCTCGTATCGATTTTCGAGTTAAAGTCATTGAAATTGGAGGTAGAGAAGGGAAAAGAAGAGGACGTACCACTGCTGATCTTATGGGCTGTTTCAGGGATTTCAATGATTAATTGTTCATGAGAGTAAATCTTGGAGAGGCCATCGTCTCCTTGGATGTCCATCAATATGACACAATTAGTATCGGTTTTCTATTCGATTCAAAATCTCCGGCTTCCTCCGATTTCACTACGTTGTCACTAGAAAAGCTAGAGATTTGATATTCACATATGAATGTAGTCCTTCTTCCCAACATAAACGAAGAAATTGTGTGTGAATTGAATGAAGATTGGATCAGAAAGACGAAGAGAGATGGAGATGTGAGATGTGAGATAGTAAAAAGCAACGTGATGAAGGAAAAACAAACTTGATAGAGTGAGAGCGAGGGTGGCGCCTCAGAAATCGACATTTTCATCCCATTTGATCTGTGATCAAAATCATATTTATTTATTTTTCTTAAACATTAAATGATTAAAATTTGAAATGAACTCAAAACAAGTATGGGTTAATGAAGTATTTTGATTTTCCTCAAAGTAAGACTTGTTTTTAATAAAAAGATCCGTTTATTTTGTTTGAAACGGTCAGAGTTCAGTTGAGATGCACCCATTCCCTTTTCCTTATCGGTACCTAATATTTCCATGTGGAATTGGAACTTATCTATTAGTTTAATTATCATGTATTGTTTCAATTGTTATTATCATTAATTTACTAGTTTTTTTAGGAGAAAAATATAATAAAAGGTTTTTTCAATTTTTATTTATGGGGTGTTTGGACTTATTTGAAACAACTTATGTTTTTCTACAAAAATCTTTATCTAAGTTGTAATGGTTTAACTTCTTCAAAAACTTCTTATTACCGGTTTGGCACCGGTATAAGCTATTTATCCAAACACTCAAAAAATGCTTATTACTGGAAATCGGAATAAGTCAATAAGTTGCTTTTATAAGCAATCCCAAACACCCCCTTGGAAAACCTTCTTTGGATTTGCCCAAGATCTTTGGAATACATTTATTTCTTGCAGGTGTGACTTGCTTTGGTTTTGGTGCATTTCATGTAACAGGCTTGTATGGTTTTGGCATATGGGTGTCCGATCCTTATGGGCTAAGAGGAAAAGTACAATATGTAAATCCATGTGGGGTGTGGAGGGTTTTGATCCTTTTGTTCCGGGAGGAATAGCCTCTCATCATATTGTAGCGGGGACTTTAGCGTGCCTATTCCATCTTAGGTCCGCCCACCCCAACGTCTTACTGCAATAGAAAGAAAAATTCTCGTAACAAAATTTTAAAAAGGGTTTTTCATCAAAAAAAATACCTACTGTATTTACAAAATAGTCATTTTTTCAAGTTTTTCACAAAATAATTACACGGATCACCCCGGGGCAGGTTGACCATAGGGGGACGATCCAACCTTCTTTGACCTAAAATAGTACCAAAAAATATTTTTTTTAATTGATTTGAGGCCCACATGTATTTGATTTGGAGACATACATCTTATTTGTCTTAAATAGAGAGATCGACCCCACCTAACCCAGGATCTTCCCTCGGGGGCGATCCGGCTTACACGTTTGACTGCTAATTTGTCTTATAGTGAAGAAATCGATTTGACAATTAAGTGGTGTTTTTCAATAAACGGGGGATGGTTTTGACTGGTTTTTTGACTGTTTTAGGACCAAATGTTGTGGTTTTACTCTATAAAATCAAACGCTTCTACTCTTACAATTCGTAACCCTTAAACAAAATTTACCATCACAACCCTTAACATAATATGAAATCACGGCAAGTTTTATAATTTTTACTATTTTTTTTAACCGCATAACGAACCAACGAATATTTTTATATTTTCTTATAAAAATTATATTTTTTATAAGCACTGAATGTTAATATTTTTTTAATAATTATTGATACGAAAAAAATTATTTGTATCTGATTTGGGGGATAAAAATTAAATATTATATCTGAAAAATGTCATATTTTTATAACCACCTATTTTGACTGCTATTTTTGTCATTTAGTGGCTTACGATTTGATGGTGATTTCATATTGGTGTTTAAAGGTGAAGAGTTGTGATAATAGATTATATTTAAGGGTTAAAGATTGTAAGAGTAGAAATGAGGAAACTCTTTCTTTTTTTCTTTGTCAATTAATAAGATATGAAAGTAGAAATGAGATGTGAAGAAAAATGAATGAGAGATCACAAACAATATACGGTGATATTTTGCACACTGAAAAACAAAATATCAGTCAAAGTTGTAAGTCGGATCACCCCCGGGGGAAGATCTTGGGGTAGGTGGGGGCGATCCCACTATTTAAGACAAATCAGATGTTTGTCCCCCAAATGAGATACATGTAGGTCCTCAAATCAATTTAAAATATTTCTTTTGTACTTTTTTTGGTCAAAGAAGGCTGGATCGCCCCCTATGATCAACATACCCCCCATGGACGATCCATGTGGTTATTTTGTGAAAAAACTTGAAAAAAATGGCTATTTTATTAATATATTAGGTATATTTTGCCTATTTTGATGAAAACCCTTTTAAAAATTCCTATTTATTGTAACAAAATTACAAAATTTCTTATTCAATGTAACAAAGTTCATAGAAATTCCTATTTAATGTAACATTTTGTGACGCGGACATCAAATTTATCCGTCATTTTGTTGTAACTCTTTAGTAAGCGTTTCATAAATCTTCCGTAAACATCAACCATATCATCATATGTTACAAGATAAACAAGTTATCATCAAATATAAAATAAATAAATAAATAAATTAGAAAACAAAATATTCTTTATGCTAAAATAAACTTTGTTGCAATTCGATTTATTTTGCCAGTTTGATTAATTAAAAATTGTTTGACATATACAACTTAAATGAAGATTATTCTGCATACCTTTTCCAAAGAAAAACCACATCATCCATATCCATTTGGCAGCAACTCAATAGCACTTGTAAAATGCCGATCAAATCAAACAAACCCAGTAAATCTCAAATAAAAAAGACCCGAATTACATGTGTAAACAAAACGGACAATAATTTTATAGAATCTCAAGCATATGATACATATTTTACTAGTTTCCCACAACATCATTTAAGGGGGTGTTTGGGATTACTTATAAAAACAACTTATTGACTTATTCCGGTGCGACACCGGTAATAAACACTTTTGAATGCTTGGATAAACAACTTATATCGATGTCAAACTGGTGATAAGGAGTTTTTGAAGAAGTTAAACCCTTCTGACTTATAGCAAGTTGATAAGTGCTTTTGTAAAAAAAAACATAAGTTGTTTCAAATAAGCAAATCTCAAACACCCCATAAATTTCAAAATAGCAGCCCTTACTTGAACAAGATCAGTTCTAAAATTCAAACACAGATATCATTAGTGCCTTAACCGATCACTGATCGAACAACAACCTGTTCAAAAACATCAAGAAATACGTTTGTGGATTCCCAAATGAGCAAAACACACAACATAATGAAAACTTGGAATCACACATTCGAGATTTACATCCTTAGAAAGCTAATAGATCGATAAACGTGGATTAACATACCAGAACCAGCTCTCTACTTCTTAATCGTTTCAGAATCTTTCATTTCGACTACACCAATCTTTTCGTATTTGAAATCAACAGGCGACACAGAAGGAACTTTCGGCATAGCAGCCACATACGACCACACGAAGAACAGAACCAAAGCTGCCAATGCTCCACAACTCATAACAAATATGAACCCAGAAAGAAAGCAATCTCTTTTCTTAGAAGTTTCAACATCTTCAGGTACAGATGAATGATCCTGCGGGTTAGCCGGATTCGAATGCAGCCATTTTGGGACATTCTTGATTTTAGACCTCCATGAATACACATTTGTAGTCTGTCCATGATTTCCATTAGGTGATGCCAAACCCAATAAAGCCTCTTCTCCTTTCCACATTTCCCCCAAATCTATGCGGTATGAAATCAGTGACTCAACAGGCCTGGGATCGCCTAATTTGCTTAACCTAACATCTACCTGCTTTAATATCGCATGGTAATCGATCCAAGATGATAATTTCACCCCACCCTTCAAAATATGATTAATTTTAGATACGTTGCTAACCCTAGAAGATGAAATTTTACAAAGATCGACATCAAACTCGATATCAAGGAATCGATCCACATCCAAAAGCCCAAACGACGTATTCTGAGCAAATTTAGAAGGAAAATCAGCGGGAATGATTACCAGCGCAACGCCATTGCCGATTTGGAAGGTGAAGTTGGAGGAAAACGACGTCGAAGAGGTGAACTTGAAAGGCGTAGTACGTAAGATGATACCGAAGCTTGATGGTGTTGGGCCACTGAGTTGAACGGAATATCCACCGTCGACGAAGTGAGCGTCGCCTAAGAGCGAATGTGTGGCTTCGGATGGGAAGTTGCGATTAGGAAATCGGAGTGAGATTGAGAAAGTGGGTTGTGCAGAAAGAATGACGAGAGTGACGATTACAACTGAAAACCCAGTCATCATCAATGGCGATTTTGGTAAGGATCCTTCTTTCTTCATCTTCTTCTCAAATGGGTAAAGGACACACAGAGAAAGGTTTCTTGATTTTGGAGAACCAACGACACTGTTTTCATTCTCCAAAATTTCATTCAATTTTAATATATTTTTATTTTAAAAATAATAATTATTATTATATTATTAAAACATTTTATAAATAGTAGAAGAGTGCTCGCATAATACAGCGAGACAAATCTTGATTTTAATGTTCTATTTTATTATTTGTCTCTGTCGATGTTATAATACGATTTTATGTGTTTTTTAAAAAACAATAATGATTTTATTTTTAAATAAAATATAAATTTGAAAATATTATAAAATTTTAAAAATATATATTAATGTTAATATCAAATCAACATTTAAAAGTTCTCATTTTTATGTAATTTTTATTTATTATACTTTAATTTAAGTTTAATAACGAAATAATTTATTTTTGGTTTAATAATATAAACATTTTAATAGATAATAATTAAGTATTCTGTTAGAACTCAACGATTATCCTAATTATATTTTAATTTTTTTATATTTACAATGATATGTTTATCTTGTATTTGATTATGTTTATCTGCAGTTAGTTATATGAATTCAGATATGGAGCTTTAATAAGTTGTACTTACGCACAATTTACTTGTAGTGTTGAATTTTAAGTAATATGCATTAATAAACAATATTTTACGCATAAAAAGTGGTTTTTAAGAGTTTTTATCAAATGTTTTATAATATAGTATAGATATCTAACATCAAAATTGCGAAAATATAATGAAAATATATAAACTGCGAAAATATAATAAAAAATATAGATCTTCTCTATGGTAATCATTTTTTGAGAGTTCTCTAAATTTAAAGAATTTTTTATCATCTCACATTCTTTCTCTGTTTTGGAGAAGGTTTTGTATAATCTTTTAAAACAGAAATGGACCAGAATATTCATTTTAGAGAACGTGTTGAATATGCTCTTACTTCATACGTGTAGCAACCGGTGAAACTACCCATTGATATGCTATTAGTTGATAGGTATTAGATAAAAGTCATCAGTTGATTGTTACTATTTGATGATTATCTACTAATGGGTTATCAGTTGATTGGTTACCCACTAACAGGTTATCAGCTTATAGTCGTTAGACGTCAATTGATAAGTTTTGCAACTCACATTTTGTAATTGCTCACTTATTTTCGGCAAATATTTTCATTACATGGAAAAACTCCAACAATATTCCACCACAAGCAAGAGCTGAATATATATATATATATATATATATATATATTGATATTTTATTGAAATAATCTCATTCTATTATTTGGAACAACAACATTTGTTATTCTCACAAACTGCTTTACGATAAAGTGAAATATTGCAAGCGATAAAACACAGAACACCATCACACCCATTTCCGAAGCACCAATCTTCCATAGGGTGGTAGACAATGTCAGGTTGAGGACTCATGCCATGTATGGCCACTTGGCTCGACAAGGCTAGGACCATTATGAACCACATGGTGACCCCCTTGCATACTTTCATCTCTATCGGTTGTCAATACCTTTCGCTTTTCCGAATTTGAGTATACTTAGATTATAATCAATTATATTTCTCGTAATGTGAATATAGATGCTCAACTGATTAGAGGTAAACCTAACTTATATACACACTTGTGTATGTAAGCATTGTGCATTTAATGTGTTATATTTTATTAATATAACAACATCTTATAGCAATACAGCATAAGTATTTATATTATGCATTTAATGTGTTATATTTCATTAATTCAACAAACATATTATAATATATGACATAAGTACCAAGTCAACTCTTAGCTTAAAAGTTAGTCGTGGAATGCTGACCATTGACTAATAAGCTAATTATCCGTTAAGGATATATTTAAAATAACTAAAAGAGCATTAACGTAATGAAGCGAGACACATCTCAATTAAATGTTCTATTTTATTCTTTGTCTTTGTCGATGTTATAATACGATTTTATGTGTTTTTTTGAATAAAATATAAATGTGAAAATATCATAAAAATTTGTAAAAAATATATCAATGTTAATATTAAATCAACTATTTAAAAGTCTCATTTTTTATGTAATTTCTTTAATTTATTTTTTTTATTATAATTTAATTTAAGT